CAGATGAAGATTTTAATCTTTTTTTTCTCACACGAATACCTTATTCTAGAGCTTGAGTCCACTTTAGTGTATTTACAATTCGGAACTTTTCCATCCACTGGGAAGCTTTTATTAAATTTTCGTTTATGAAAAAATGTATCAATTTCTCACCTGGTAATACGAAAAAATATAAATTTCTCAACAATATTGATAGCTATATCATAAATACTGTTTAAACTATTATCATTCCCAATATTTCTCAATGAAACCACTAAACACTTTAGTATACTGACATATTTTAAACAAAACGTTTTTCATAAGTTCTCTCTAGTAATATTCCCTATTGATAGATCCAATAAACTTCAAATGTTAAAAAGGTTTTATTATCTCATTTTTGAACAAAATATGATCTCACTACACTGAAAAAAATAAAACTTCTATTTGATTAGTATCTAACTGACCGAAATATGTGAGTTCCACATTTTAGCTCCAACGTGACTGCGCTGACAAGCTTTTTTTCTCATTTCTAATGTTCACACATAGATAGAATAAGGTGTGTTGATCACACACATTGTTTGTTTTTGGAGGGCTTGTCTCTTCATACAAGACATATGAACAACATTTAAAAGAGCTAAAAATTAGTTTTTTGTGGAAAAGACCACAAATCTCTGTGAACGGTTCACTAAAATTGAACCTGTCCGACGCAGAATCGTTTACTCTACCAGAATATCCATGAAAATCTACGTATAATAATGCTCTTCAATTGATAATGGCCAAATGCCACCACCAATGGGTTCAATGCTGTAAACAGTGATTATCCTTGAACTAACAGAACTCGTGTCTGCATGAGTGAATCAAAACGATTTTCACTCAAAGCTGATAACTTGGCAAGTTCTTTCTAACGAGACTTTCGTTGGCACTCATCAAACAACTCTTACATGCCTCCAAGGGGGAATAAACTGATTTCCGGTAATAGAAATCACTAGTTATCACCAGTAGGGATGTGGCAGTTCGGTTACAGTTCTGATCTGATCTTTGAACCATCACGTCCCTCATCACCAGAAATCATTAGAAACATTAAGGATGTGAATAACGGCTGACAGCTGATTACATATTGAAGAGAATCACGAGAATCCATTAGCAGCCGCTAGAAATCACAGGAAATCAATTTAAGCTACAGAAATTTTCCAATTATACAGTTTAAAAAAATCTTGATTTCTATTCATTTCTGATGATTGTTACTAATTTTCTCTTTTTCGAGAATGCGAAAGATGTTTAGTTACCTACTTTTAATTTCTATTGTTTTCCCATCATTTTTCTTCATTTCTAAACATTTCCAATGATTTCCACTGATGCGCTTTGAACACATAAAAATTGATCTCCAGTAATAGAAATCGCTATAAATCAACGGAAATCGGTATAAATCACTATAAATCATTGAAAATCATAAGAAATCAAGAAATCAGTTTGTTACCCTTCGCATGCCTCGATGAAATATAATCGACAAAGATGAGTTTGGTTGAAACGATCACTAAACTCTCAGATAAACTGCTAAAAAAGATCTCTATGAAAAGAGCTCATCGAGTTATCTATTGTAAGTGAAAATCACATTGCTTTCTTTTCGTTTTCTCTTACACCGTAAAAACCCACTGTTTATAGCATTGGACCCATTGGTGGCGGTGTTTGATCATTATCAATCGAGGAGCATTCTTATATGTAGGTCTTCATGCATATTCTGGTAGAGTAAACGATTCTGCGTCGAACATGTTAAATTTGAATGAATCGCTCACATAGGTTTGTAATCTTTTCCAATAAAAACTGATTTTTGACTCTTCCAAAATTGGTTCATATGTCTCTTATGAAGAGACAAGCCTTCAAAAGCATATAATGCTTGAGATCAACACATGTCATTCTATCAATCTGTGAACATCAGTAGCGTGAAAAAAAGAAAATTTTTCACGAGTGTTTGAGGGGTATCCCCGAAACGAACCAATGATACTTTTGCAAAGTATACCTTACAAATATAGAATAGTCTCCGAATCGATACAGCTTTTATTGTCGACACCCATGTTAGCTTTATTTTGCACCAACGACGAATTTTCATCAAACATGGTTATTGAGAACAAAAAATAGCTGAACGTCGTTATTAGAGCCATTATTTTTATAGATGTTGGGTGTCACTCGTTCGATTTTTATAGCTTATTACGCTAGAATTTGTTTCTCATCAATACGTACAGCATGATAGAAATCCATATGCTCTACATCATTGTTCAAGAGACCTTTTCTGTATTTCTTAAAGAAAACGTGTCCTTCGGTCAGTTATATGACAAAGAGAACACATAATAGGAGACATTGTACATTAAGTGCTAGATATCGAGATTGAACGAACGCTGTGTAGTAGTTACTATTCAATCATGTTTCATCCATATATAAGATTTTTCGCACTGATTTATGACTACCTTATGAAATAACGAATATAAGGAGTTCCAGTTGTTTTATAGTTAAAACTTCTAGCAGCTAACTGCCGAACGAGTACTAATTTTGTGGTAAATTTAATAGAAATTGAATAAGAATAAAGGAATATTGCATATTTATCTCTAATGTCCAATAATTTGAAAATTTTGAGAAATGTAATCTAAAATAATTTCTGATGATTTCTTGTGATTTCTAGTGATTTCTAGCATTAGAAATCAGTTTGTTCCCCCTTGAGCTCGATTTAATAAACATAATTAAGTGGTTCTTATTTTTACTAGATAGAGCAACTGGATACGAGATAAAGACTTCAATGCGGCTTATGCGCTTCTCAGATGTTACGGAAAATACCGACATACTGCTCATGCCAATTGGTGGATATGAGCAGAGCCCTTTGGTCCCGCTTGAAATCGCCATAGAGTCACTCATTGCTATTCTACCTAAGATTTGCATGTATGCGTATATTGCCAAGCAACGATGTAAAAATCCGGCTGATGGTTTAACATCAGACGAGTCAGCCGCAATCATGCTTTACTCAATGGGGTGGGAGCCTCTCGACGAATGTCTCTATTGTGTCTTGAATCGAACTCTTCGATCAGAAGACAGAACGCAATTGAAAATGTGGTTTTTATATCTCAAACTGCTCCTCACTGCACTTTCCCATCTTCCTGCCAAAAGAAGAACTGTTTATCGTGGAGTTAAATTAAACTTAAGTCATGAATATCAAACAGGCAAAACTATTGTTTGGTGGGGCTTTTCTTCGTGTTCTACATCGATCAATGTCCTACGATCTGATCTTTTTCTGGGAGCAACTGGTACCAGAACAATTTTTACCATAGAATGTTACTCGGGCAAAGATATTCAGAAGCATTCTTATTATTCAGTCGAAGATGAAATTCTTCTTCCCACTGCTACTCAATTCATAGTCAAGGGTTGTCTGATGCAAGGTCATGGACTTCATATTATTCAACTGGAAGAAATTGAACCATCGTTTCCACTTTGGCAGTCGGTGTCGACCTCGGGGATACGCTGTCGACGTCTGTCTCTGGATTTGGCTGAATTCACAGATAATTTTTTAGCACTCAATGATTCGTAAGTACTTTGTTTTTAGTGTAAATTAGCAGGAAAATTGTGTGCGAGAATGTGTTATACTTTCAGATTACTGGGACCTCCGGATGAATACATCTTCTTATCCTACGAAAATGAAGATAAACCTCTAGTTAATGCCATCGCTGATATTTTGACAGATTCCGGAGGAAATGTTTGGACCGATGACATGATAGGTAGTCACGAAGAAACAGAGTATGTGTGACTGATAATGAAATCATGCGTTGAATTCGATTTCTTCCATTCTAGGATAGCAGATGCTATGGATAATTCTTGGGTTTTTATCTGTTTTCCAACACCTGCTTATCAAAATTCAAAAGCATGTCGCGCAGAGCTCTGTCTTGCACATAAATCTGGAAAAAATATAATTCCTATTATGACTAAATCCAATTGGCAACCCAGTAGTTGGCTTCTTATGGTTATCGCAAGTGTTCCATATTTTAAATGGGAAAATGTTCAACCTAATGATGTAGGAGCAAGAATGCCTGATCTGGTGCAACGTCTCAAGAATCTTGCTACGGGAACTTTATCAAGAACAACAACAAGAACAAGAACAACAGCATCAAGGAATAGTACATCAGAACCAAGGCCTCAAATACACCGTCCTGATAGACTGTTTGATTTGTCTGCGCGCGAGAGGCGGCGAGCCAGACCCAATTCTTAACATAGAAAAAAGAAAACTTTTACCGCAACCCAAACGAGATTGATTATTTTCATAATCGTTATATTGTCTGTAACCAAAGAGTATTGGGTGTGGGTGTGGATCTAGATATTCTTTCGTGACCCAGCCTCGCATTTACACCCACACCCGCTACCCACGGAAAAAGTTTTCAACCAAAACCGCGGTTATTGGCGGTTTACCAGTTGCGACTCTCAGCGGTTATTAAGAACCGCGAAAGTCAGACCGTTTATTAGGTTTTTCCACACCGCCCGAAACCGCGGTATCCTCAAACTGCAGTTATTAACGATTTTTGAAAAAAAATGAATTCATCATATAATGGTATATTTTACCTGGCATCTATGCGGTAATCCTTGATTTTCCATGTTCGCGACATATCTTCGATCTCAATGCAGCGATTGAATACCGCGGTCAACT